ATAAAATAAATTCGACAATTCAAGCAGGCGTAAACAAGACGTCGACGCTGACAGAATTTCTTTTGAGGCAGCGCCGACTATTCGTTTTTTTTCTACCTCGTCGTCGTGAAAGCGCTCGTAATATCAGTACTTGCGTTGACGCACTTGTAAAAGCGACTTCTAAAGATAAAGGAGCGGTTTGTATTGTAATATTCAGCTTGCTACTTCCGAGCTTTCTCCGAGTGAAGTACAAATCGTCTTGTCTTCTTCGGCGACTTATGCGCTTTCTTATGTCTCGAGTCTGAAAGCGGCGACGACTTTCGGTGGTTACGAGGTTTTCTCGACGCTACTTACCGTTCGGTTTATGATGACGTAAAAGCCAACCGAAAACGCATTCGGCGACTGAGTTATTTATATGGAAGTTGGACAGGGAAGGGATTGCATTAGAAATGTGGCAGCATATTTGAGCATATTTAGTACTGTATATCCCCTCCTGTAATACAAAACTTTTAGTGTGTATTTCTTGTGTTATTGTTATACAATATATTCTGCAATTATATCTTAAAAAAAGGTAAAACTTTTTTCTTTTAAGCATATATTTTAATCATTAAATACCAACTTTTTGACACAGATAAAAAGATAAAAACTCACAATACATACTTATAACATCCATTTTATTTATTCGTAATATTATATTGCAAATTACAGTATATAAATTAAATGAAATACAAAATATCGTAAATGTACGATAAAAAGTATACATAAAATAAAATACATAAGATAAGAATTACACACGCGCACACTTTTTCTCTCTTTCGCAATTTAATTTTCTCTTTTAAAAATAAACGATGATTTCCTTTGCATAAATGCGAGAAGTTGTGAATTCGAGATATTATGATTCTGCACAAATGCATAAATATTTTCATTCATTGAATATTCGACACTTCATTGCGTAAAACTGACTTAGCAGGATAACATTGCAAATCACGAATCGACACTTTTCCGTGGGTATCGCCCATGTTCTCTCGACAGATTAACTTGGAGCCGGTATGTATTTCCGCGAGCGGTTGAGATTGCAAGTGTCACGCTAGCATGCGTGCGTTGCGCGTGCCTCGTTCATGTCTCGATTCGAAAATAAAGCATAGTGGGCGCGACATGTGTGTGCAGTATGCAGCACAGTTTGTCACTGCATCGAAATCTCTACATTTGAGGCGCTCGATTAAAATTGGCCGCCCATGTTGCCACAGACACTTATTTCAATAATTCCCGATATTTTTTATTATATAAGTAGTTTATTATTGTAGTATAAAAGATCTCTTAATTATCTTAATCGTCAAAATTATAAATAGCTTTTAGCTTTTAAGACACATTTTAATTTTTCGCGTAATTATTTCACTTTATTCCATTGACATAATTCTTTATTGGAATAATGAAATTGTGTTTAATAATAATGGTTACGAATTTTTGTAGTGTTTGTTGTTCGTTAAAGCATCTCGAGTTTCACTCGCTTGAGATCGCAAAGGAATAAACTGCATGTATCAATTATATATTCTTTTATTTCCTTGCGTTGCCAATAATCGGGCTTACTACATTCTGAAGCTAAAAGGCTCTATTCCATCGCGTCGAAACAAAATGCGATTTTCAGTGGCCGGCTAGCTCGGACCAGACCGTAATTCGTGCTTAACGACCTTTTAACGATTTTTCCGCGTGTCCGCAAACGAGCAGCCACTGCCGGCGTGAGCGATAAAAAGCAACGTTATTACTTCGAGCGTGATAAGTTTGCTCAGAAAATTACGTGGAATTCATTGTCATTTCGTAAACTCGCCGCACATGCAATGCTAAATGTGCCTATATGATTCGAGGCGTTCAATGATTACAGAAAAATTAGAAAATATTGTTAAGCAAGAGCATACAAAAATTTTGCAGATGAAAATTACTTTAATGTATATGAAATGTTCGCGTCATTACATTCATCTTGCTAGACTGGGGAGCATTTTTAATATCTGATACAGGGCGCAATGATGTGAACTGTAATAATAACGGTAAACAATAAAGCATTAGACAAATGACTGATGTTCTTTCGACGAAAAGTAATAAAAGCGTTGTCACGCGCGTGTCGTCATCGGCCACATTGTATAACAAATTACCGTTGCCTCTAATGACAACTCATACGGAAAATCTCGTTATTAGGTGGCATAATGATTTGCGTTTTCTTTTATCTAAAATTGTCTAGAATTTATACGTCTTGTTTATCTTTATAATGTATTTAAAAAAAAAAAACTACAGAAATACTAGAACAAAAAATAGATTTAAAGAAAAAACGCGAATCGATATTAATATTACAACTTTAAAAATAAATTGTTATTATAACTTATAAAAGTCTCTAGGTAAAAATACCAATTCACAATATATTCAAATGTGTGTGTGAAAGCATCGATTGAAATATTGTGGTATTAGGATCTGTAGCAGCGAACACGCGCGTGTCATGGTTGGTTTATCACGTTACACATACTTTTATGAGTCTATTTCCGGTGACAGGATTGCCAAATCGTATCGGGATCACAGCTTACAGGACCTCGTGCGAAATATCGACCGGATTAAACAAATCGACCGAGCGTGTATTAACGCTCGGTTTTACTGCGTTGGATATTTATCGCGTCGCTGTCGGTTTCCTAGGAAAAGCGTCCGCGATTATATGACGCTGCATTGATTTTCGACGTTTATTTTTCCGTCTCGCTCGCGATCGAGCTAGAACATTTGACCGGAAAACTTTGACTGTGATGTCATTACAGACGCAATGAAATATATGGCTACAGATGCAGCTGTTCCCGTAATAAAATTTGCAATCTTATCAAATTTCTATAAAAAACGTGCTCTCAAATATAATTTATGCAAAATATATAGTTTATAATTCTATTATATTATTACTTTTTGTAAACATATTACATATTTTAAAAAGACATATATATATATTTAAAAAAAGAAGAGATTATTTTATCTCTAAAAATGATTGAGATCTGTGAAAAATAAATAGATCTGCCAAGAAGTCAGTTTAAATGGAGAATATCTGTCTTAAAGAAGCTAGTTTAAATGGAGAATATGCATATTAAACATGAATATATGTTTAATATTCTATTTTGGTTATCTGCTGATTCTAGAAATTTGCACGTCACGACACGAGAACTTATGGCACTATAATTTTATGCTTGCTTGTGTTAATATATATTCTTCACATATATATTAACAACAAAGTACACATTAAATCGTCCACTTGAAACCAAAGAGGTTACTTTTTTCGTTCTTTGACGTTTAAAATATCTAAATACATATTTGAATTACGAATTTATATAACTATGCTATCGCATATCTTCTCTAAAGCAACTTATATATAAATGCGCGCGTTTAACATCTTTTCGAGAGAAAATACACGGGCGCGAAAAGGAGAAATTAAGATGTTAACATTTGCGTGAAATGTTTCTTTTTACGTTTGTCGGAAAAGTCGGCATATACTTACCTGTTTCATATCTTTACGCACTCTTACGTGAGTTAAAAGCTCGTAAAGATAAGGATAAAACGCGCACTGCTCGTAACACTAAGAACATCGTAACAGAAATGTCGAACGAATATAGAGAAACGATAATCGATGTATCGTCCGTGGTCTCACGTTAACGTCATACGTCGAGTAATGTCTTTTTAACGGAACAGGTCTTAGACTTTTGTACACGGATAGAAAAGAAAGTTTCTTGACCCATTATATCGCGAATATACCATTTTCTTACGTTCACTATAATAGATATTGTTACGTTGTACATTATTATTTATAGATGTTTAATACAGCTATTTACGTGAATTGCTGAGCTCTGATAGTCGATTATATGACTATCATGTTCGGTAGAGCAGGAAGCGAGAAAATAACTAAAGCACATATTATTATAAACTTTTTCCTTACGATTGCATTGATAATTTCTTAAATACCACGATTGTCACACATTTTTTGTAAGCATAATATTAATTTTATTACTAATCAATCATAAAAAAGTTTAGGAAATTAATTAATTTAATTTAAATAATTTATTTTAATTTAATGTTAATTCTTATAAAAAATTGTTTTTCTCTTTTATAAGTCATAAATCTCGATATATCAATTTTGTTAGAATATCAACTGGACATTTTTAAATTAATTGTATAAAATTAACTTATATGTGTAAATTTACTATTTGTGGGAAGATATTTATAAAAATTGAGATATGCAATTAGCAGAATTTAATTATTCAAAATTTTGAAGATTTAGTTTAAAAAATTACGCTGATTTTATTTTATATTATATATTATTTATATAACACATAATTTATATAGAATATATTATCCCATAATGAAGTAATTTACATATACTCAGTAAACTATCACGTAGGAATATCAGTTTATTTATGATACTTTATCGATTTCTTATTTTTATAGGTTGGTGCAAGCGTTTCCGTGGGAATTATCTTGATAGCCGCAATTGCAGACTGAAAATGCAGAACTGGTAAGTCCAAAAATGATAATTTGGAATAAATTAAAATATTCGCGTACATAAAATAAAAGGAAAAATATTTCATCATAGTTATAAATAATATATTATATATATATTTTTTTTTTGTTATGTAGATAATAACTAAGATAAAAGTTTGCAAGAAAAGCGCGAAATTACAAAAGTGTGAAAAATGTTTTTATCGCTCACATCATCTTGCATTTCCGATCTACATTCGAAATGTCTCTAGAATATATCCGAAACATGTCTGATAGATCGCCGGAAATCGTAAGTCATCGCGCGAACAAATTGAATCGCGCAGCAAATAAGGATAAATGCAGGAAGCGAGTCTCTATAAGGGGGTAATTTTTCTTCCTGACAAAATACGAGTGAACACGGATTTACTTTCACAAATGTTACGCTGTATGGTATGCACGTGACTACAGAAACGGGCTATTCTCGACCGCGCGAATAGCAGGTTATAACATCCTTATAAACGCACATGCTCGTTTATCTATCGAAATATGTAGTTATTCTGTTGCAGTTTTTGTCTCGTATTATTAGTTGACATTAAGCGTGCATTTTGCATGTAAATTGCCTTTTTGCGTGTAATCTATATGATTTTTAGACTGTTTTCACTATGCCTGTAACAAATTTAAGGTTTTTTCTCCTATTTTATTTTTTGCATCAGGTTCTTTACTCAAAGAAATTAATTTTTCGCCATCACATTGCGCTATTTACGAAAATTAAATTAAATTATTTTTAACTTCACTTTGTTATTTTCTACTCTTAATTACGCTTATCAAGATAAATCAAGGCAACTCAAAGCGATATAATTTCTGAAAATGCTTTTACAACAGATAAAGTTCTGTTTGAGTTTACGTTAGACAATACGAGAGATTATTCACGAGAAAATTACATTTGCGAATTCAATTTAGGCAATTTACATACAGCTTGCCGCTTATATAAGCTCTTTAGGCTAATATTGAAATAAACATTTATTCAGCACACTTTGATCGTTTACTGTTTATCTAAAACTCGCGTATAGTGATGATGTCTTAAACATAAAGTCACGAAGAAAGTTGATTTTTAAATAATTCGTGAAACACAATACTTATTGCTAGTATACGTAGTTTGATCGGAAATGATTCGGTCGCGGGGAAAAAGTTGGGGAATCAAGTTCAGTTACAGTTTCACCAAGCGGGTTACGAAATTTCTGAGGCAATTTCAGGGAGAATCGAATGAGAGTTCGAGAGTGTCGATAGAGCGGGACGCGAGGAGGAGGGGTGGCGGGATTTTCCCCACGAGTAAAGGAGATAATAGGGGCCACCGGCCTCGACCCTCACTTCGCCGCCCTTACGAAATAGCTATTCTGTCGAATCCTCCGCGCGTATTACCAGTTAGCGGCAAATGTCCACATATATCTATGCCCACGGTAATGGATATAGTCGAACGGTGGTGGGTCGTACCTGCGCCCCAATTAGTGTCAAACTACCGGAATTGGGATTGAACGAGGGAAGAGTGGGTGGGAAAGAGGGAGAGGAGAGACTTGTCGGGGTTGTACCACGGGCCGTTTCGGCGGCGATAAATTTTTCGTTGAATCGATTTAATCCGCGCAAATGGAGAGGGCGAACTGTTTGATTAAATTATCTGAAGCGGCACGGTCGCGTAATCTCGCCGCATCAATCTTTGTTATTGTATTATCGCGGTTTAAGCGGCTCTTAGGAAAGCGGGCTTGTAGGAAATCGATGATCGATGCTTCTCGCGAGTTTCGCAACAGGAAAACGATCAATGTTCAGCGCGCGAGCAACAACATCCCGCATTAATAATGGTTTAGATGGTAATCTCGCAAATGTTTTGATTGATCGAGTTTAAAATCGAAGGAAATTACATTAGATGATATTTTTTTTCGCAGTTTTATTCAATTTTAGTAACTCGATGAAGATGAATCAAAGCTTACTTTATTTTATTAGCGAGATACGCGCCGCACGTGGCTATTACAATAAATCCATTAAAGACGAGATATGCGCATAATTTATTTTCTGACGCGCATATTACACGTGTAATTGCGGTGCAGTGAATGTACAGTGCGATCGCGATCGCTGCTGTCAATCACGGCGAAGCGAGCAAAAACCCGCAGCCTCGCTGAAATGAAAACGCGACATGTTTGTGAGCGCGCATGTACGCAACGGTATGCATCGGTGTCGGTTATCCACGTGTAACAGCTTTACATCTACGGATGAACTATGTAAACTATCTTTTTGCGCGTGCACTCTCTGCGCGGACATAATCAATTCAGATAACGCTTGTGCAACATGTATCACTTTCTGATCTCGGTTTTGTTTTCAACTTGCATCTGAAGAAATAAACATTCAATTTAACATCTTCTTCGCAATGTTTAACAATCTATCTTTCTAATTTATCGACTCTTTAATTTATGCAAATTACATTTTAATGTTGGCGTCGTGTTTAGAGAAATTTTTTTCAATTAATTGATATATATGAATAATATCTCTCCATTTTTCTACTTAAAACCGGTTTACGCGTACTCGTCACTTTGTAGAAGAGCCGCGCAAATATAACTTAAGCATATCGGGCTAATCAGAGAGATAACGCCGGTCATTAATTCTCATCAAGCTCTCCTACAATCTAACACGATCCGTTTTGATTCGCCATATATAGGCCGACGTTTGCGCGCTTGTATATATGTAGTTATGAATGATAACGCGTAGCCATGTGATAATGCACATTTTGCACACGGCGATCTATCGGCTGGATTTAACAGACGATGATCGATTATGCTTTGAAAATGCGTCGAAAATGCGAGATGGTATCTCAGTTCTCGGCTGCTATTATCTTTCTCTTTATCTCTTGACATGAGCATATTACGTGTCGTGTAATCGAGCGTCATAAAAGAGACTTGAGTGCACGAGAATCGAGAGTGCAATAATATTTTAACTTATGCATTTTTAGGCTTATATTTATGAATAGTATGCTTTGAATTATATTGCAATGAAAACCAAATATTTATATAGAATTTTATTATTAAAAGAAAGAGAGAAATTTAATAGCAAAATTGTGACTATATTTAGCGAAAAATTTGAATTATCATTTCACTTTTATAAAGTTACCATATAAATTATGCACATTATTTCTGCACAATAATGTTTTATAAGCAAATTAAGATACCCTGCTCTTCTTTTATTTTAAAATCAAATTTTGATTCGAAGTTTATTTTTTATTAATTCTTTAGCATTACAACGTTGGTCTATAAACATTCTAATATTAAAATTGACTACCTCGTGTCTTATAGTTAATATTTATGTACTATATTTTTGCATCAACGGATATTATGTTCCACCTGCACGCTCATGCTCGATTAAACACGACATATTTAAATTACGCGAGACTTGTTTATGTCAGTTGAGCGTGATATGCGTGGATAAAGGTTAATATTACCGAAAAAAAAATTTGAATCAGTTTTATTCGTATGCGGCAAATGCGAATGAATAAAGGGTGGAGGAGAGAACTTGGGAAGCTTATCGGATTTCTCGGCCGTCGCATAAAGTGTTTCGAGAAATCGATCATGTACGGTTATCAGCTTAGCTTCTCTCCGACGAAGCCCGCAATGGTCCGTTCAACGAATCGTGTATGACTCTGCCGACGCGTTTATACATCATGCAAGTTTATCGCGTCGCTCGCGCGATATCGGTGTCGATAGCATCAGCGGCGCGGTGTGAAAAGTTCCTCGTGTGCTACCGTCGCTCGTCGTTTATATACTCAAGAAACTCGTACAGAACAACATTGATACTATCGCGGAATCTCGCAAACTAGTTCGCCCATAAAGGAAAGAAAAGTCTCCTTAGGAATAATTGAAGGAATTATTTTATATATTGATCGAAACTATTATCTATAAACTAGACGTAATAATAATAATAATAATAATAAAAAAAAAAAAAAAAAAAAAAAAAAAAAGGCGAGAAATATCAAAAAGAAATGTTTCTTAATCTTTTTATTTATTTTAGATAATTTATTTTCTACTTTAGATTATTTTCTCTTGATACCTTATTTTATTATCTGGGAATTTAGATATCTTTTAAACATAGACTGATTGTATTTACACAGAGATATTTATCTTCATGTAGATATTATGAAGCCTTCAAGTTTGGTTCATTGAAATCAATTATTTTATACTATAATTGCGTTTCTCGTGCACATCCTTCGTGAGGTAGTTATGGACAATTAAACTACAATAAGCTCTCTACTCTATCTCTTAATAGTCGAGGTTTCTCTCTCTCTCTCTCTCTCTCTCTCTCTCTCTATTTCTCTTTTTTTCTGCCTTACACGAACTTGTAAGTAAAGAAGAACTGCTTTTACGAGAACATTTAAATTCTTCGTTAATATCTCTACCACGTAGAGTACGCTATACGCTCGCGGCTTATCCATTATGGTACTCGTATCGAACAATTATAGTAGCTCGATCAGGTCGTTCCATCAATCACTTTTCAATCTCCTTTCATATATCTGCCTTTACCAGTTGGCAGCCGGTAGCCGGTTATATGTCCCAAGTGGAATTACCACGAACACAGACTATTAGCGTACTTTCGCAAGTAATTCCGTTGCGGATAATGGAATACGTCCTTCCTTTTTTTTAGCATTAAGTGCAGCTATATGACCCGCATTTAATTTATTCATATGATTAGAGGATCATATTTCATGTCTTCTTTTCTCATTGTCAGTATCGGATAATAATGCTTAGAGTCAAATATATAGAACTTTGTACGCGCTTAAGCGTATGAAAAAAATGTATAAAGGCTATGAGAGCGCGCGTCTTTAATGAACCGGAACGTGGCGTCGTTAAACGATCATCGTCATAATTCCGTTAATCCTAGTATAAGGAAGATAAAAAGCTAATAACGATGATTAGGCTTGTAAAACGACCCGCGATCGCCATAGTAATCGCGCGGCTCGTGCGCAATTTGTTTATTCGCTTGTGTTAATTGCATGGTGTCTCT